TGGGACTGGAAGCGTGTAGACAAACCAGAGTTGAGATGAAAATCAGAATTATAACAGAATAATTCTTGTAGATAAGAGACAGTTAATGAGAGGATATTGTAAATCAAACAATACAGTTGCAGAACAAAGCGCTGGTGAATATTAAGGCAGCCTGAACGTTAAAAAAAGAGAGAGAGATCACTTGATAATATTTTCCGAGAATGTACGAATACAGGAATTCTGGATATAAATGCGATAAAGTATAAATGAAATAAAGCGGCATAAAATAAATAAATAAATAAAACGAGAAGTTCCGCAAAGTTCCAACGTGAAAGTTTCATCCACTGGGAATTCTCTCGGATCTCGAGCGCAGAATTTACAGGTTCGAATAACCTCGAATGGACCTGTGCGAGCGTTTCTGCGCCGAACGAAAACGGCTCAGATTCGACGCTGTTGTTTTCGAAGCAGGGAAGGCGCGATAAGAAATGGGGCGATGTGTATGTTGACGACGTTTGAAACCTGCAAAGGTGGCGCGGAGGAGTGTAGGGCAGAGCAAAGGGGCAGGGCGGCGGAATTCCGCGGAATATTCAATTTTCCTGGGTTCTCGCGTGTCCGGTAACCCAGCAGGCAGATCAGCGGGGTTTACTATTTCCGCGCGCGAGGCAGCGAGTCCGTATATCCGCGCGTCGGATTCGTCTGGGAGAGTCGAGACATTATTTGTCGCACGTTTAACACGACGGCACGTCTCGATGCCTTCCGGCTGTTCGATGATTTCAATAACATACACGGGAACGCGCAGATTTGGCTAACCGCATTGTTTTTGGCGCGACGCCAGAGATCTAAAGTTGGAGCTAGCCTAGCTTCGCCGCGCCTGCACGGAGAAAAATAGAATAGTTTCCGCATAGACTCAAGGCCGCGGCATTAGACATAAACGAAGAGGATTTATCGCGCAAATAGTCTGATCGAACGGGGCCCCGTAAATTTTCGCTCGTGGAACGCAACGATTAAATTGGATTCTCAACGGCGTTTCGTTCATTTGGTCGCCGTTGGTTAACCGTCGATCAGCCGAATATCGAGTTATCGTGACGAATCTCAGGCCGAAAATTTCGCCGATATTTCACGATCGTATGGTGCGCGACGAAAGATCCGTTCAGCGACGCCAAGTGCCGAAGGTTAATTCCTTGGCGTCTCGTAGATCTTCGCCTCTCTTCCTCGAGTAGCAGCAGACCGCGCCGTTTGTAAATAGCACGAAGTGTGTAAAACATTCGGCAGACTAAACACATCATTGCGTCACGTGACAGTGTCGAAAAGGGAGTCCAAGCGGAATATAATCCTCTAATAAAAACAGACCTTACGTCGGCGAAAAATGTTGTCGTGTACGCCCGTTAAAATTGCGCTGACGCAATCACAACATTGATTTGTCCATTCGCGAAAGTCGTTACGAGGCGCGTAAACGAGATGAATGAATCCTATAATTCAGCATTTCTTGCCTCATTTTTCTTTCCTTAATTAACAATACTCTCTCGCTCCCCGAGGAGCAGATTTATGGTAACTCGAATCTATCAAAGGGAGAACGCTTACAGCGAGGAAAAACTCGAGCCGTCGCGCTCAGCTTCGAACAAAAATTCGAACATCATTCTCGGCGTATAAATGATATCTCCTCGTCGCGTCTCGACGAGATAAGCTAAGCGTCATCTTCCTGATTTTTTGCTCCTCACCAGCCAGCTAGACAGTTTAGCCTTGGGAGCCTCTGATTACTCGGACTTCCTGCTTCGTGTTTTACAAGGCTACCTAACTTCGTGTAAATTAAACAACAAACTCGCGTATCCCAGATCCTGCGAAACACACTTCGGCGGACGGGTTTTTCTTCTCGGCTGGTTTAGTTTTACTCAAATCTATCGTGGGTAATAGTTGCACGTGCATATATTTCTTTGAAGCTCCTTCATTTAATTTAATTTCAACTTATTAGACGCTTAAGTTGTATTTAACTTCTACTTTTAATGTCACATTAACAGAGACCGTTTATTTTTAAATTATTAATGCATGAATCAAATATATATTCATGGATTCGTTAGAAATACTATCGAGCTAAGATGGAGCGAGGTTAAAAATGGGGCGGGTACAATGAAATGTATCATATATATTGCATTGTATAAATTGTATCTATGTATAATAAATTAATTAATACCACAAATATCATTGAAAAATATTTTCTAATAAATATTATGAAATAAAAATAAGACAGTGTTATATTATATATTTTATATCTGAAGTAATAGTGATGGCATTTTTTGCCCCGCCTCCGAGGTGAAAAGTTCCAAATGACAACCTCGGATAAAATATTGTATCTCGTAAGTTAATGACCGATGCTTTATTAGCTTTATAGATTAACAGAACTTTTAAAGGAAGTTTGAGCGTTCTTTAAAAGTACACAATAACAGCTTATACGGTTTTTTATATATTTGTAACAAAACCGTGTGTGAAATTGGCACTTTCACTCAATCTCGCCTTATCTTATTTAAAATTTAACGCGATTTGAGGCACACTTGTGCTCATTCGACGTTCAAAATTTCGTGTCGATATTTTATCTCAAGACTACACACACGATTAGAAGCAAACTTTTATCACGAAATTCTTTGCTTTATTTTTTCCTAGATTAAATTTATCTCCGAAAGTGCATCATCGAGGCCCTTAAGTTGTCATGTTCGAAAATTCAGTTCATTCATTTTACATAAAAACATCGGTATTGAGTAGTTATGCGTCGTATGTGCATTCGATTAGCCACGGCTCAACCTTATCGCATGGCCTTCATACTAGAAGATAAGTTTATTTAGGAAACTACGCTTAACAAAGGAACAATAGATTAAGACGTTATTGCGATGGCTGACCACATAATCGCGGGCACTTTGAGTTATTACCTAGCCATACTGAATGTTAATCTTCCCGATCTCAAATAATTACAGCGCACACATTCATCGCTCACAAACTAATCACAGCTGTCTGCGGCAACGACGCGCCGCGAGGAACAATCATACGTCCGCCTCGATGTTCATTCAGAACTCTCGTTTCTCCCCGTTTAAATCACGCTCTAAACACCATCTCGATTTAAATCACGCTCTTCGCTAGCCACGATCGGAAATACCTCGTCGTTTCGAGGCGACGTGGTCGCCTTTTTAATCTTGCAAATTCGCGATTCGTATTCCATTCGGCATTATTCCCGAAAAAGATACATGTACGCGCACGTGCACAAATACACACACCACGCACACACGTAAACACTGTTCACAGAATATACGACTTCATCGAAGAGACGAATACAAATTACACGCAATAATACAATATCGACTCGTCCCGTACCGACCATCCTGTGTCATTTGCGTATCGCACGTAATCTTCAGCCGTCCGCTGGAGTTACGCTCTTTTTTTCCTCCTTTTGTTCTTCCCACCGGTGCAGGAAACGCGATATTCCCGTGATTGGCGGCGACACGGTTATCACGGGTAATTACAAATCGCGCGAAAGCAGATTTTTTCCCCTGTTCGCGGCTCGTCTTCCGGTTTAGTTTTCCAGTTTCTATCCTCCGGCTGGTCGTCGTGGTAGCGCGATTAACCGCACACACGTCTGCGATCGCCGAGCATCTCTCTCTCTCACTCTCGGCGCGAGAATTTTTATGCACCTGTTTTGAATTGCGCCTCACGCATGCATCCCATCGGGCGGGCCTCGCAGCGATCCGTTAAGAGGAGGACGCGATCGCGTGATCGCCGTGTGCTTACGCGCGTGAGAAAGCGAGGGAGAAAGAGAGAGGGGACGAACTCGGTGATTTTTCGTTGGCTTTTTGGTGCTGCCAGCTCCACGAGCCGGTAGTTTGTTCCTCGTTAACGACGAGATAAATAATGGGGATGTTTAGCGTAGATACGTAAGTCCGCGAGGCACCGGCTCGATAAGAAATCGCGTAATGAGTGCGCGCCGCGTATTACGAGATACGGAGGAGAGCCGTCGGGATGATTGAAGCACTTCGTACGGTTATAATGATAGAGAAGATTAATCGTGGCATTGACAGCATCATCGCGCGAGGTAAACAAAATTCCGCGCATTCCGAGTTGCCGAAACTTCGCGGACGTCGCGTAACGATGATGCGAAAATCACACGCGCAACGAGATACTACGATATGAACGGTAACAGATGATTCAGGTGTTTTATGCAAATATTCGCTGAGGCATATTTTTCTTCTTCTTTTACCGCAGCTACGATGTTGCACGACGTGTAAAAATATAAAGGTGGAAAAAGAGTGAGAAACCTCTAAACTTCGCGTGTTTGTTGAAAAAAGAAAATTGAACATTCGGAGAGTATAAAACGAGCATTAATGACGTCCGCATTCTCGCGACGCGGAAAGCGAATTTCTTCGTGAAATTCGAGTGCGTGGCTTGATCGTTCGCGATCAATTAAACGGAGTTTTTAAAGGTGCTTATATGACAATCGGACAAATGATTAATTGATATCGCATGGCTCGGGGAAATTACTGTTTACTACGTGTGCAAAAACAAAGCTGCTCGTGCGGCTAAGTAATTTTTCCTTGTCGTACATACTTACGTACGCATAAGCGTAGAGAAGAGTATAAGATAGCCTTTAAATAGCGGATAAAATCTCAGGTGCGATTTTCATCGTGAGCAACAAACGTTCCATCGAGTAATTTCCTTTATTGTCACTTTTACGATGTGAAATCCTTATCTGTGGCATTTCAACTATTTTTCAACCATTCAAAGATTAATATAAACCGCAAAAATACCACGTGTCGTCTCGCGTATCAAAGTTTCGCTCGTACCAACAATCGTCTTCAAATTAATCGAGAAGCTGATAGGCGGCAGGAAATTGTATCAGATTTGAGATACCTTGTACGACATACCAGGGTCCGCCAGGTGGTGCCGTGACAGCAAATGAGAATGATTGCTTTTTCTTTTTCACGTCAAGCGGTTAGAAGCAGACGCCCCCACCCGTATTCCTCGGCGACAATGCGCGACGACTATCCACCTAGACACTAATTTTCAGTTGCTTCGGAGTTTATCTCGTTGCGCGTAAGCTACGAAACAGGTATTCTCGCTACGGTATACTCGTACGTACGTCATCCTTCGCTGTCGACTCTCTCCTTCACCGAATCACGTGCCTCGAGTATTAATCGGTGAACCTCGGCGTAATTATCGATATCTGATCGGCCGATACCGCGATCCAACGGAATTAGTAACGAAGAACTAACTAATCCACGAGCTACGAGACTACAAGAGCGACTCGACGGGAACTACTGAAAGGCAAACCACCGAGTTCGAAATATCTCGTTGTATTATGTAACGTTATTTTTACGTAAACTACTGCACGTTATTCGTACGTAAACGCAAGTGTACAAAGATTACGGGGCCGTGAAATGCGCTCGAAGTTTTATAACACGTTCTGTTATCAATGTTCTATCTGCCGAACGATCTCAACGAGACTTTGAAGTGTCTAAGTGAAGAGAAATTCGTCCGACATTGACACAGGAATGATCGTTATTTCTGTCGCGTATCGACATATTTTTCCGATTCGCGTCAGTGTTGCGAAAAGTGCGACAAAAGACAGATACGTCTTAGCGTATATTGTGCGGTGAAGTGTACAACGGCGAACCATGTCTGGCAGAGTGAATCAGGCGTTTGATGTAAAGTATATTTCTTTTTTATCATCAATGAGCTCGCTTGAAGGACTCGTAGATTTTCCAATTCGCGTGTTGGTTCTTTCTACGGGACGAGTCGGTCTCTTTTCAATCCTATTTTTATCTAAAGTGAAAGTATTCCGCTAAATTCCCGCCAGATACTTCTCGAATCGAAATCGATTTCTCCACTTGAGGATTTAATGTAGAACTAAAATTTAATCTCTGAAAGTCTCCCATTTGTAACATTAAAAAAGCATTTATCGTGCTCCTTCGATGTTGTAAGTAGGAATTTATTTTTATTTTCTTCCCTTTTACGATTTAACTTAGAATTTAAAACTTCGACTCGTTGGAGTGTCATGACATTTTCTAATGTTTCCATTTCTTCGCTCTCTCACTTCAAAAAGGGCCAAACGCATTTAAAAGGAAAAAATTAATCTGTTATTCTTAATGAACAGGATAACCAATTAGATGAATTGGAGAGTGGCCGCCGGAAAAGCGGGATCTTCACGAATGAAGTGAGTATGTGATTTTCAGTCGCGATATTCCCACCATCGATTGCAAAACAACACCTTTGTTAAATGTCAATCAGTCGATGCAGTTAGTCTCCCGACAGCGCGTTTGTTTACGCAAACAATCAAGAACAATAGTCGACGTAACGCATATAGCAAAGTCCTTGATAATGTGTCGCCCCGTTATTATCAAGCGATATTGCTGTAATCCGCGGAATTTCATTTTATACTCGCTTTAATATGAAAACGCAAACAGAGACGATAACAAAACGCAGCGGTCACACATTAATACCGCGTTGATTATTGCGTGCACATATAACACAACACACAAATAAGATCCGAAATGTAATATTAACGTATATGTAATATCATTCACGCAGAATGTTGCTTCTCATCGCGAGCCGAGTGGTTATTGGGCGGCCAAATGGAAGGCGATCGAGGCTTTCGCCTCGAAACACCGAAGGATCATCGAGCTCATTTTGAAGATTTTCGGCGTGATATTCTTGAATCTTCTCATCCTAGGCTATATAATCTACGCAGGCATATATTGGAAAAGCACACGTACGTGTTACCTCGCCTCGATGTTTCACGATGTTTCATTTAAGTTTGATTTCAATCGATTTATTCGACTTTGACGAAATATACATAAGAGTGTTGAATAATTTATACAATAAAAAATTTGTGTTAAGAATGGTTCACTAAAATTTTGTGTTGTTTTAACATGCGGAATGTGTTAATTTGGAATTGTTATAGAGTTTATAAACCAAAAATAAGACAAAAAGAAGTCTCTTTCGATACAAAGATAGCACATTCAGTCTCACAAAAACCGGCTGGTAATCATGACAAGTAATATATATAAGAATACTACAGTGATAACTGGCAAAGTGACGAAATCTATATACTGGACCCACTCGATTAGATTGCGTTGACTTTTTTGTTACGGAAACCATATAGCGGAACAATACTTCTCAACACATTTCTTCATGTTAAAGTGCAACACGAAATTTCAGTAAATCGTTTTTAACACAAAATTTTTTTACTGTGTACAAATCGATAGACGACTTATGATACCGAAACGACAACGATACATTTTTCAGCCTCGGGAAAGAAATGCGATTTCGGGTGGTGCGGTGGCTACGGTATGCTGCTCATAATCGCGGGGATCGTTTACGTCGGCCTAATTTACTTCTTGATCGTGAAACGGTATTTCGGAAAACGCATCGCGCGATACTGCCGACCAATGACGAGTTTCTGGGTGCGCTTGCGAGATACCAAGTAAAGAATGCAAAATTAACATCGCTTTTTCCGATAGCGTACAGATTGTCTGGGGGGATGATTCACGTTGATGTTCACGAATGAAATTTACAGGTACGGGAGACGCTTAGGAGGAACGATATTCTGTTTGATCGTGTTCATTGCCATCATTATTTTCCTTGTTATCGATACCGCGGAATCAAGAGAGAGATTAATTAGTGGCTTCGGAGTTATCGTCATACTGGGACTGGGATTTGTATTCTCCAAATATCCGAGACAGGCGAGTATGCTGTATTCTGAGAAGCTCAAATTTATCAGGGTTTCTGTATAAAACCATCCCCGATATCTAATCTATCGATCCATCTTCGCGTTCGGGCGCGAACAAATTCTATCTCGTGATGACACCGTCTTAAACCGAGGGAAGAGTTGACTGACTTCACACTTTACGTAATAATCAGCACTATCTGCTGCCGCATCGTCTCAAACGCGCCCCAATTACTGTGACACGCGGGCAAACACATACGTGAGCGATACTGGGGAAAATTGCTGATGGCGCGTGGGTAGACGCGTGGTTAACTGAGTTAAAATTAAGGGGATTTTAGCAGGGGCTACGATCATAAAAGCAATCTCATCCACGTCAAGCTAAAAATGTCGGTGACAATACATTTGCGACATTCTCGATTTCGAGGCAGTCGTGGTATATTAGATTTAAGGGTAAATTTGTCAAGTAGAGGAACTTCCCCAGAAAACACCAACTAACAATAGCATTAATGTTATAATTTCCCACCCAACAACGTGAATCTATGCAATATAAGCCGCTAATTGTAAATCTTAGACGCACGCGCCACATACCTAAATAATATTTCACCGAAGTGAGAAATAAGCGATTTAAGTGACTCAAAAACCCGTTTATCACGAAACAAAAGGAATTCTCGCGCGCGAATCTTTCATGTTTTAAATGTTTTTAACATCATGGCGTCAAACACACACACAGATCAACTGGAGACCCGTCATCTTGGGGCTGTTTTTGCAATTCACCCTTGGGCTAATCACGATTCGATGGTCCGTCGGACGCAGCATCTTTGAATGTGTGTCCGGCAGAGTGGCCTCCTTTTTGGAGTTCGCTAAAGACGGCGCCAGATTCGTCTTCTCGGAGGACTTGGTCAACAAGGGAGTTTTCGCGTTCGCCGTTAGTTACAATTATTTTTACCACATATTTATATAGATATATATAAGATCGGCTGGGGGTAATTTCGATGCTATTTAATGAACACGAGATGAATTTGCGATAGGAACACATTATCTACAATGTAAGAAAGTTAAGCGTGTTAATTGACCACGCTTAATCTCATCACTGAAAACGGTATTCCTTTTCCCGTAAATTGAATTATTCATCGAACGTGATTAACTTGATCGCTGAAAAATAGCCGCACTGTCTGATTCTCCGGATGGTCTCGACTACCCTCCTCCCCGATCTTGCAACTTTATAAATTGTCACAGATCACTACCAGGACCAATATTCTATTCCATTAGGTGTTGCCCGTGATCTTTTTCTTTAGTTTCATAGTGCAAGTCTTGTCGTATGTCGGCGCTATGCAATGGTTTATCTTGAAACTAGGATGGGTCCTGCAAAGGATAATGGACACGACTCTGTGTGAGTCGATAAGCGCCGTCGCCAACCCCTTCATCGGCATGGTAATGACGTAACTGTAACGGCATAACTCTCTCGTGTTCTCGCGAAATGAAATCTTTCGTTTTACTTTCCAGTCGGAATCTCCCCTGCTGATCAAACCGTACCTGAGCAAGCTGACGTCCTCGGAGTTACACGCGATAATGTGCTCGGGATATTCCACGGTTTCCGGTCTGTCAAGCGTTTCCCGCGAGCACGACTCGCTAGTGCCGGCGAACTCTCACTCACAAGATTCTTGTTTGTTCGTCCGTTGCAGGTTCGATATTAGCCGCTTACATCGCGTTCGGCGCGCAACCGGTCTACCTGATCACCGCCTCCGTGATGTCCGCGCCCGCGTCTCTGTGCTACTCCAAACTCTTTTACCCGGAGACCGAGCAGAGCCAAACGAAATTCGAGAACATGAAGCTCGAGAAATCGTAAGTGACTAGAGAGCTAACCCGGCTCGTTCGTTCGTTCGAACAATGATTGTCAGGAGGTTTCACGAACGATGTTTAGAACGGACACCAGCATCTTGGACGCCGCTACCAACGGCGCGTTAGCCGCGCTCCCGATCGTCCTGGGCATCATCGCGAACATCGTGGCCTTCGTCTCCTTTGTCGCCTTCTTCAACGCTTTGCTCTCTTGGTTCGGAGGTCTCGTCGGCTATGAGGCTCTGTCTCTCGAGGTAACGTGCCCGACGATACATTTCTCATGGATCGAGATGCTGTGATACTACTGATATGACACTGGTATCGATATTTATCTTTCAATACCGGATAGTTTTGTATTGGCACTTTTCATATTCGTACTTATCAGTACTATTTTGCTTCGAGATTTTTTTTCGTTATTTTAACTGTTTACTCGATCTTCAAGATATCACGTATTTCTGCTTCATGAAAATTAACGTAACGCGCAACTTACGCTTTAAACCCATCTTTTCTTGTGATTTCTGTTCACGCTAATTTTACGTTCATTGATTGCTGAAGTAAAAGGAAGGTGTCCGGACATTTTTACAAGTGTGCGGAGTCGGTTACGAGCGTCATTTTGTATACTGTTTGATTTCCACGTGTATGCCGTAATCATTTGTAGCATGCGATTCCTCGCTTCTGATTTTATTAAACAGAGACAGTCATAGAGTGAGAAATCTTAACGCATCCTTTTTAAAGTTTTCGGACCACAAACCGCAGGAAGTCTGGTGCAAAAGGGAAAAGTATCTCTGATGCCATAGTAAAATTCTTAAAAGTAGTTTGCAAGACAAACACTTCCCTGATTTGTATACTTCCTCAAATTAAAAATTTTTTGAAGCTTTGCTGCCGGTATCGAAACTTAATTCGTATCGATATTTTGGTTCCGATACCTGGTATCATTAATGATATAAATACTTTTAATTAGATACCTTATCCAGTGTTATTCAGTATCGATACTTCACAACATCCTTATTCACGGCCTACCGAGACCGCCTCCTCCGAGCGAATTTTATGATTGCGATTTCACACAGATCATCCTGGCGAAGGTGTTCATGCCTCTGAGTTGGGTCATGGGCGTTCCTTGGGAGCAGTGCGAAGACGTGGGCACGTTGATAGGTCTCAAGACAGTGGTCAATGAATTGGTCGCCTACCAGAAGATGGGCGAATTCAAGAAGCAGGGCAGGATATTCGGGAGGTCGGAGACGATCGCCACATTTGCGGTGTGCGGTTTTGCAAACCCCGGATCGATCGGTATCATGATCGGCATCCTCGCCTCTTTGGCGCCGGAGAAGAAGGAGCAAATCACCAGTGTGGTGGTACGAGCCTTCTTCGCCGGCAGCGCCGTCTGCTTTCTCACCGCCAGCATCGCCGGTAAGGCCGAAATCCTGAACGTGACAGCGCTCCGCCATCGTTCGAGTCACCGTCACTTTCGCTCTCGCTATGAGATTCACCTTATCGATCAAGTTTGACTTTGTTGCAGGCATGCTGATCGACGAGATCTCGTTTTCGAATTCGACGATAATATCAAACGTCACCGAAACACTGAGTACTTCCTTGCTGTGAATTGCGTAACAAGATTTCCGTTTGGATTACCTTACGGTACTTTACACGCTCGGGATGAAACGCCGATCATTTCGTCTCGGGGATCTTCGCTCTGAGAGGAAACGACACTCACCAAGGAGCTCGTTTCTCAAATCAAGCAATTAGCGTTAATTTAAATAGGTAGCGATATGGATGAAGAAGAGGCAGGTTATAGTATTGTTACGTTCCCTCCCTTTATCTCCGATGAGTTTTCATACAATACTGTTATAGAAACATCGAAATACAGATTGTAAATAATACATGCGAGATCACCGGTTCAACCGGGATAGAGAAACGACGTGATACTCAGACTTTTTCGCTTGGCGTAATTAATTATGCGCGCATGCGCTTTTAGCTGAAACGCGACCAGGTCGTCTTATAAAAAAAGTGATATACTTATCGTACGTGCGTACCTACTATTTGTACATCGTCAGTATACGTAAAACTGTAAATACCGCCCGCGTAAAAGAAGTACGTATCCTCAAAACTGAGTGTGCTTATTTTATTACACCGAAAGTACGGTAATTATACGTATATCACAATATCTCCAGCGTGCGGAATGTCGTGTGTCGTGTCTTGAGAAGCTATGAAAACATCGACAAAATGCAGTATCGCCTTTATAGATATTTCTTATTTCCCGCTCTCTCTCTCTCTCTCTCTCTCTCTCTTTCTCTTTCTCTCTTTCTACTATAGCTTATGGTAGCGTATGCAGCTTGTAAATATCGTAGATTGTATGCGTGCGGTCGAACACGTCGGCAGTCACCTCCAACATCTTCGGCAAAACGTCTATGTTTCGTTGGACGTTTTCACCACAGACCTGAAGGATCCGATATTAAATTGAGATACGTCATCCCCGTCCGTTTCGCAGTCTTAAAAGTAAATTTCGTCGATCGGTTTACCTTCTTGAATAACATCTCCCTAGTTGGCATAGTATACATGGCGACTATCGCAGCTTTCCTGATCATCCACGGGTGATGCTTCGCTAGGGTTTTGTTGTAAGCATCCTGACAACAACCGGACGTCTTGTCGATGTCTGTGAGGTCACCAAGTTGCCGCAAAAATTGCCTAATAAAATCTAGAAGGCGAAAATGTGTGCGTCAGTCGTCAATGTCTACGAACTAACGTTGCACGAACAGCGACGACAGTACCTAAGCCTCTGTGCAACCGTAACAAAGTACGCGCGCCATTGACGAAGTCGGCCTTCTCCAGCAGTTTGTTATCCCTCTCGTACTCGATCATGGTCTTGATAGTTGTGTAATTCTGATTATCTCTGTTTCTCAACTCGATCAATACGTCGATTTTTTGCTTCAGATCAGATGATACGAAACTGAAGACACTGCCCATTAACTGAAAAAATCTGTATGCACAGCATGTTACGCAATGCGTTTTACGTGGAGACAATCTAAACTGTACGACGTGATAAATGAAGGAGAGATAGCGCGCGATTATCTTGCTGGTTCAAGCAAAAGATAATAAACAACGGCAAGAATTTCCTCCGATAACAGCACACATTATGGAATTATACTTTCGACACGTGGAATGTATTTTTTCAGATTCGTCATGTGTACTACGATTCTCGAAGTTTGCAAAATATACAGAACTTTGTTATTCTTCGGATAAAGATACCGCATGACAGCCTCGTATGCACAACAGTGTGCAACGGTATATATTGACACGATGCATAATGCAAGCAATGCTTTCAGTCTGATAAAGCAAAATTACTCGGTTCAGTCGTCGTAACTTGAATCTTTATATCGCTCCAAAACTTTCCACAGAATTGACCGCATCGGGCGATTTGAAATTCGTACGTGACACATTGAGGTTATGTCAAACAATGGAAAGAGCAACACGGACTTACTTGTACAGCTCATTGTAGGCGTCTAGATACGCCTTCAAATCGATATCGTCATTTTCCAAGAGGGCCTGATCGAAATGATCGTGCACCGTACGCAAATCGAAGAAACTCAATTCCGGTCCCTCGGCCATTCTCGCGTCACTGCATTCGACGAAACACTGCGGCCAAGTCTGCTTCTGCGCCACGTTTGCAGCGAGCAGCACGTTATCTCCTTCGATTCTGCATAACCCTTGGAATCGAACTCAAATTACACGCTCGTGTGCTTATCGTTGTTACCGCGACAGTTGGCGCATGACGCATTCGACATAGACGACGTATCATCTCGGGATCGATGACAGCTCTTCTTCGCGCTTACCGTTCGAGTTCTCGCACTCGTCCGGAACTCGAGGCTATACCACAACCACCGACAGGTGCGAGAGAAACGCGCTCTGCGCAGAAACAGGACGTTCATGAGGTAACACCGTTGGAAGACGCGCACAACATATATGATTATTATCAATTCTATCACACACACATACGCACATTCGATTGATTTTGAGGCGGAAGGGAATTCGATGGAAATTCGGGGAAAAATTATCGGATGCGTAATGAAGAGGAGGATTACCGACGGAAGGAAAACAAGATGTTCTCTTGAGCGGGATACCGCTGGAACTTGATTCGAACGTCATCCTAATACAGTCCCGCACCGAGAGAGGCACCAGCGATGAGGAAGATGAACGGATTGTTTAAAATAAAAACGAGATCTCTCGTCTGATAAGAAGGGACAGCGCATATTTCGCATCTAGAGGTGAAGATTCGATTGGATGAATTTTAGCTTGATTGCATATAAATTTCCACTGCAATATACTCTGATTTTCCAGTCGAACGTGAAATGTATGCACAGCTGAAGACGACCTACCGTCTTTCACACATAGTCGGAGTTGTTGTGTTTGCACATTATTTACTCCCGACCTCTATTTGTCGAACAATCGCCCTGTGCATTTACCGAGTTGGTTTCGACGAGGGGAAATGGGAAATTCTTGCGAATATCTCGCTCAGGACGACTTATCCGAGCCGGAATATTTCAACATCTCTGCTGTGTGGAGTGCTAAGAGCACGCACCGGCGGAATTAAATTTAACGTTTCCTTCATAAAGTTAATGTCTACTGGAGGCACCGCGAATGTACATGTCTGACATTCATAAGCAATTACGCGCGTGGTTATCTAGAAATCTCCCGAGTTTTATCAAAATAACATCGAAAAATTAGCGATAAAACGGCACATCGTTGGGGAATTTACAACGTTGCGAATTCATGCGGTGAGTATATTTAGTATCAAACCCGAATACTTTCTGTATTCTCAATGTGTTTTCTCACTAAAGACTTTAATCAATATCGTGACACTTCATGTTGTGCAATTTCACACAGTAAATTGGCCATAATTACGCAAGAGGGATCCGACCCACATGAAATATGTTTCGAGAAAACGAAGATTAAAATTTGACATGCGATTTATCAAGTATAAATAACACTGAAGTTCTTCACAATCATTCAAGAAGTCAAGCACTTTCCTCTCTTTAAGGGTATTCGTTTACAAATAATTGATCCTTACAAACAATTCACCCTCAAAAAAAAAAAGGATAAAAAGAAGACGCAATTAGTAAAGGAAAAAAAAAAATGGCGCAACTAGTAGAAAATAAAAACTGTTTTTCAATTAATTCTACGTGTCCATAAGGCATTATTTTACGGATTGGATCGCTCTTGCATAACTACGGCCAGCTGACGTAGTAAATAAGATAAAATGTCTATTGTTTCGTCCTTCCGAACGATTGTTTGCCAAATACGCGCCTTCATCTGACATAGTGCACTTGATAAGCTGAATTTACGCCGGCCATACACGCCCCTCGGCATATATTCGAAAATATTTTTACTGCACATCGTTTCAGTCGCGCAGTTCACCGGTGGCGGTGAAAATCGGGTGGTGGCCATCGATGTCACGGCGAAACATAAACAAAGAATACTAAAATCTCGCTGACACGTCGGTTCGCGTAGGTAACCGGTCTCTCCCTGGGGGTGTTAAATAATTCACCGCAGCTGGGACTGAGAGTCGGACGAGAAGCGGGGTTTGCGGAGGAGCGAAGGAGGCGGGGTGGTTGAAGGGCCGATTAAATATTCAGATGTCCCTCAACGCAAATAGAGTAAAGTCAAGCGCGATGTCAGGCGCAGAGGCGCGCAATCTAAAAACTACGCTAAGCCGAAACGAAAGGAAACATACCCTCGGCCGTCCGATCGCGGCCTCTTTCCGCGCGTGCATTTAACGCCGCTGCGAACTCTCCCGCCGACGAAGGAGAGATCGCGAGTCGTCCTCGCGGAGAATGTCGCGATGAATATTCCGGTCGGCGGCGAACGTGCCGTAGACGTTTTTACGACGGCTACGCGTTTCCGGTCAAGCGATCTCACGGGACGCCGACTTCAACGACCAATCACACGACGACGTCGTCGTCGTAGCTGCGGCGCATAAAAATGTGTCACTGGGGTGCCGTAATATCTCCCCGTAGAGACTTATCGACGAGGAAAACGCGCCGCGCCGCACGGTCTTGATCCCTGGCCACGCAGGACACGCTCAGCGATCGTATCTTCCCTCGACGGCCACTATCCTGCGCCTTTCTCTCTCTCTCGTCCTCTCACGAAAACACGAAACCGACGACGGTGTCGGACAACCGGCCGGCTAAAAAGAATCGTTCAACGAGGCGTGCACCGCTCCTGATCATCGTTCTAATTATCTCGGTAACCCAATCTACCCGTCGTTGTCGCGCCTTGGCTTCCCGCCACCCTTCGGAACTTCTCGATTCTCTCGTCTCGGTCTGCCGCCAGCACCCTCCTCCCCCTTCGACCACCCAGCCGTCCTTACACCGTCGTCTTCTGTACGATCGTCCCTCTCCGTTCTATTCGCGCTAGACGTCCGGCCGCATTCTCGTCTCCTCTCTTTTCTTAGTAACTCGCCCTCTCCTTCTTTCGATCTCGGAGTCTAACTGCGGGATCGCCGACGACCGCCCATCTAAGTTTAACAATTAACGCGCTCGGGCCGGGGAAAAATAAATTAATTGCGCGCTGCCGACGCGAAACACGTCACGAACATTCGATCTAATCGACGGAGAGCTGCGCTGTGTCGTCTAAGGAACGTGAAATTCTTTCGTCCACATCCCGATGAAAGTGTGTGTCTGCGCGTAATATCCGTCGAAGTCGCCACTGATTCTACGTGATTAGTAGATTAATCGCGATGGGAAAGATGCGAAATTAATTTCGGTACCGTTGAATCTAAAGAGCTACAAAGCTCGCTTGCGAATGAGTCTAGAAGAGGAGAAGAGAGGAAAAAAAGCAAAACGTCGAGATCGCGGCGTCTTCTTTTCCTCCGACTCTCCCCCTCTTCGCGTCATTCTTTTGTCCCGATTGTCAGGGTTGTCAGGAACGACAAGGCGGCAGCGAGCGCGAGACGAGAAGGGTGTTTGTCATACGTCGATAGGCGTCAGAATTGACACACTCGCCGAGTGTGAAACGGAAGTGGCGTTTGGGGCGACGACGTACTAGAGGGATTCGAGGGTGCAAGGCGGATAAATATTTGAGGAATTTGTTGTCGAGGATGAAGGCGGCACGGGAGACTTATCGCTTGTTTGGCGGCTCTACAAGAAAGATTCCGGACGATTTTTATTCCAGTCTCGCGTTTCCCTCGCACGCTGCGATTCGCCTTTAATCGTTAACTCCTCGTTTTCTTTCGTCCGACGGAGAAGCGATCCCGCGTGGCTCGAAATTCGCACGCGATATCGGGCATGAATGGAGGGATGACAAAACGAACGGAGGGAAGGGGGAGACGCGGTGACGAGAAATTTCTAACCCTTCGATATACGGCATTACACCCTCGTGTGCGGTTCGTAGGAAAAGTTTTAGGTGAGCTACATACGAGGGTCGGGGACGGACCTTTCGCGAAAGGGTCTAACGACAGTTTTGTAGCCCATGGAAAATCACTGTCAACCAACAAGAGTCTGCAAAGTGTCGCATTATACAAATACATACGTGCGCGTACTAGTAAAGTCGCGGGCAAAAGTGATCGTCGCGTTAACAGAATCGCGCTGCGCGCGAGTTCAATTCGCGAAACAAACCGACATCGAGCGTCATTTGAACTTGCAGATAAATCGACAGTCGTAACATGTCCTGGTAACTTGCAAGTGTGTCCTCGATGTTTTAAGTATCGGGAAGGTGTGTTAAAGAGAAGAGAGAACGATACTGCCAAATGATGCTCAAACAAGACAAATAGTGGGATAAATAGTAAGGATAAAAACGAGACGCAAAAGAATAAAAGAGAGAGAGAGAGAGAGAGAGAAAGCGAAAATAGAAGAACACATAATCGTAGAACGAAGCAGCTGAAGCAGTTCCAACTTGAACTTTTGTCAGCGAGCGTACGTGAAGTAGAAGCGCATACTCACACGCACACACCTAACGGCAGAATGTAACAGATACAGACGACGCCTGCGAAAAGCCCGGGTACCCAGGGTAAAACGAGCCTGGGAAGTTCATTAATGGATTAAGAGTGCTCGATCGATACGATTAGCGCGACGTGGCCAGCCGCTCCTGATACGCGCAACATGCATTCGGACGTAACCTAGAATCCATGATTTTGTCGTGCATAGAGGCGATTAATTGGAAAACAGGGCGGTAGGAACGTTTCATGAAAAGAATTATGCTGTCAATTTAACTGGATATCCGGATTAGTCCCGAGCCCGGCCATGTCGCGATCGGATTTCTTCGTGTTGCGGAAAGGGAGAAACGTTATTTCATATTCTTGGCGTCGAAGTCGAGAAAGCGCGATATTATTTCGTCAACGCAATTATGTCGGAGTAACGACCGGCGTGTGTGTGCGTGTGTGTGTATGTGCACGTGTTAGGCGTACGATAAAATTACAATGCTGGAAAATCCTCGGGTGGTGTCCTCCGGCATACCGCGGACTATCAGCGCTTTTATATCGATCCTTGGGATTGATATGAGCGCTGTGTAACATACGTGTCCCCCCTCGTGTCGGCCGCGTGGGGTTGAATTTTAAAACTGCTCTCCCGAGAGAAGCGGGAGACCGTGCGTCTTTTGAAATCGGGCTGTGTGCGGTGCTGTTCTTGCGTAAGAAACTACATATCCCGAGGGATGCCATAGGAGCTTCGACGCGTCGACGTACAGCCCGAACTGCCGTTGTCATTCGGAGAGTCGACGCGCTCAAGTTCTCCGCCAACTTTCGACTAGATACTTAAGCTCGGCTTACCAAAGTGAGAAAAAAAGTAGAGGAGAGAGACAGAGAGAAACGGATCTGCGTCTCGTTTTCTCGCGTCGCACGTTATGATAAAAATATCTGGACATGACCCCAAACTCTGGATATTCTTATTGTTTTAGTCTTTAAATGCGAATA